CACAATGGCTTGAAAACCTCATCCAAGTTCAGTATTTTGGCTACGAAATTTGACATAGAAGCTGGACTCATTTTTTGACAACGAATTCAAATAGATGACATCTTTTCCTTCAAAATGGAAGGTTCGCAAGCTCTGCGCGTCATTTCGTTACAGAGAGACATATCTGTATCAAAATACATGCCACTTTTTTGCAGTAAAAAAGCACAGAAGGTTTGGACATCTATAATTTTGTACATTACTGTAGATATACATGTGCAGAGTTCCCGATCAGGGGGGGGGTGCTGGCCCCTCCCTAAAAAAGTTTTTGGACTTTATGGCAAAATTTTTGACGTTTTACCACCAGCAACTTTCTGTCAAAAAATTTCGAAAACGTTTTTTCGCCAGCCACTTTCTGCGAAGCAAAAGTTTTAGCCCCCCCATCCCTAAGAATAATCAGAAACCCTGTACGTGTGTACTTTGTTTTTTTACTCAAAGCATGAAAGCGTACAGTTTGTGTTCTTCAATTACTACTCCTGTTCTTTATACTATGCCGTCGTCTTGTACATATCCTGGTGATCTCCACAGAATCGTGCTATTAAATCGATCGAAAAACACTAATGAATCGTCCTTACCCAAAGATATCGAAATATTATAGAAAAACTTCTGGAACGAGAAAAGTGTTGCGTTTTGTGAAGAAGCTGTAATGAGCAACTATTTTTTGTCTTTCTGAGTCAAATGATCTTCGTTCAACTTAGCCAAGAACGAGATTTCTGGCGAGTCTACTTCGGTGTTAGGATTAAACGAAGATATTACTGAAATCCTTGCGATCATGGTTGGTTCTTCATTATAGAAATCTGTCACTTTAATAACTAGAAATCTTCAGTTTTCTCCATTTTAAACAAACTACAGTAACATTAAAGAACATGGAAACTTATAGAACCATGGCTGTGGTGATAGGCAGGGTGCAGAGGAGTGCATGCTCCTCTGCTTTTTGAATTTCTTACTAACTTTTGTTAATAACCTTTCTCCCAACAAGTCTATGGGGACTCAAAACACATTTTTCTTCCAAAAACTGAAGCTCCTTCTGCTTTTTTCTCTCGCCACGGCACTGTATAGAACTCATTTCTTTCTATTATTATTTTAGACGTCATATTTATTTAATTTTGCTTTTTTTTCTGTTTTCTTTATTTATCGCAATGTGATAGTGTCATGTCCTGCGAAGCCGCAACAGTATATGCATTATTACTACGCAATTATCGAGTATCAAGGAATACTCGTGCTATATGGCAATTTCAACAAATTGCTTCAACCGGTGTTATTAAAGTACCGTCTTTAGATGAAATCGTAAGTTAGCGATTGGAAAATTTCTTTATGCATAGATGTTAATTGTTTTTCTTCTCTTATAGCGTAAATCGTCCGATGAAATTGTCCTTTTATCAGTATTAGATAAAAATGGAAATCAAATCAAAAATGCGATTTGTACACCTTCAACACGATTTTCTTACTTCACAATGCGTTATAAATTTTCATTCATACTTGACATGACCGACTCGTGTGCATCGGTATCTGTCGACGGTTGCCATGTTTATTTAGAAGCTCTAACAAATTGTTTATGCATATTATTATGTTCATTAGCACAAACGTTCGCCTTGTCTGGTTGTGATTTAAAATTTAATCCAGAAATTTATGTTTCAGTTTATGTTTATTTTCCATTGAATTGTGCACGTCAACATCAAATATTAATTCATGGTTATAAATTGAGCTGGAGTACGCTTGAGAGTGTTTGTAATGATATAATTGTAGCTCTCAAAAGCCATATTGAACTGTTGGAAAAACTAATCAAAATTTCACAAAACTCACCAGTATCAACATCGGGAAATGAACAGGTGAAAACTCATGCAGTGAATCGAAGGAATTTTATTATTAAAATTCTTTCAAAGTTAGGCTGATTAACTCTCTAGACATACATAGCTTTTTGAATAAAAAATGTTGAGACATTCTTTTTCTTTAATTTTTTTCCTACATTTACAATTTTTTTTCTCTAGCGTACACCATTTGTGAATTTATTAGTAAATGAATCGTCAAGTGCCATTATCAATATGTTGTCGTACGGCATAACAACATTGCAATTAATGCCTGAAGAAGCAACAGCCGGTTTAATCATAATTACTGATGGTATTTTAGATGTGCCAGCGAATCTACAGTCATTTGAATCTGTGATGAGACAAATTCGTACGCGAATAATCAGTTGTTCATTTATACAAATTGGTTCAAATATGGCACAAAAGAGTGGATGTAATGGTTGTTTTGGTCTTGGAAATATTCCCAATGAAGAATTACTAAAATTTATAGCCATGTCTACATTTGGTTCATATATTAGTTTTGATGTTGATCATATCAACTGTGGACCACATCTTTTGAAAAAATTATTTAGTAATAAAAGTGGGGATGGTTATACTATTAATACATGCGAACAATTAAATGAATTTCAATATGAATTATTGTCATGGGGTAGGATGATAGATGAGACGAACTGATTATACAGTAATGTCTCAGGTTGAGCATTCCATTATTTTTTCTATTTAAGGATTTCATAAAGCAGTTGGTGAACAATTTAACAAAAAATCATTATTAAAACGAGATTCTCTACCAACAATTAAGGATGGTCAAGATGAACATTTTAAGAAAAATATGCCAACACAAACTTTGAGTAAACTATATCCAACATTACCAATATCAAGAAAAAATGTTTGTCAAACGGTTTTACAGACATCATTAGAAAATGTTTTGTGTTTACGATTAAGGGAAGGTTATACTGTGAAACGAGTGTGCATTCAACGAGGTTTGTGTTTTAGATGCTATCTTTTTCATACTTCGATAACACAAAATTTCTCAATTTTTTTTAGACGAAATTGAAGTACATCTCGTTTTACCTTGGCTGTATGATATTCAAATATATTATACAGCAAGATCAGCATGGCCATTATATAACAGGTAATGTAATTTATCTTAGATAAGATTTTGATTTGATAATGTGTATGCCACTAAATTTTCCATAGTAGTAACAGAAGTGCCCAACACGAAACAGTGAAATTGAGATCGAAGACTAATTTAAAGGATGATGTGTATAACTTAGAAATAGAATTCATTCCTTCAGAACAATTTTTCACTCTCAAACCTTTATTTGTATGAAAAAAAGTCATGCGATTATTTTCGTCTTTTCCTCTAGTGTCCGAACAGATATTCGTGTCTACAAAGAAGCACCAGCCTATTTTCTTTATGAGTTACATCATTCAACAGCGTCTTGCAAAGGAAGTGTAGTCAAAGGAAACCTTGCACGCCGTTACAACGATGTTGTACAAAGGTATGTTTTGTTTTTTATACTATTTTTGTGATAAACGATAGAAATTTGATGTTTTATTCATAGTGTATCTATTATGGATCGTCATTTAACACTTATAAATACATTTGCTAGTAATCCAGCTTATTATAATGTTCCGGAGACAATTAAGCGTGGAACTGCTATTTTTATGTTATCACGTAGTAGTGAATTGCAACAAACACAACCGACAAAGTGATTGATACCGTTTTATTTTTGTTGACTTATCATTCCATCAATTTATCTTTTAGAGATAACAATTTACAGTTATTTGCTGAATTTTGGCGTCCAATTGTTGTATTAGATGGATCTTTATGGTACTTGACTTTGCATTCCAATTTTTTTACACAAAGTGTTATTATTTTAATTTTATTGTAGGCAACGTTTCATGTATACCCATAATTTATGTTTGATTTTAATGCATGATCCGTTACCCACATCATTCGTACCATTGAATAACAATAATCATTTACAAAATACTCAACATCCAACTGTATCATGTCGAATAGCTAAAACTGATTTTGAACAATTTCTTGCCGATTATTTTTCATTTGTGCTATTGGAAGGACAAGCATACATCAAATTTTTATATAAGTAAAGAAAAATCTCCTTTTTCTTTTTTCCTTAATCTTCAAATGTCTAATTTTAGGAGAGAAAACGATGAAATTCCACACAGTTTTATGTTATTAAGAATTATTGGTCAACCACCATTACTATATTTGAAATTTGCATTCCAAGCTGGGTGTGCCACACTTCAAAGACATAAAGTAGATATTACATGTGATTATATGTCTTGAGTAGAAGATATTTTAGCATTTTTTTCTATAAATTGTCTTTATTTGAATTTATAGATCATTGCTGAATTTCGTGAACGTCTATCCACATTACGACAAAAAACACGATTAAAATCTGCCACTGAACAACGTAAACAACAATTATCTAATGGTTCACTCACACTAGATCGTCCATCATCCACAAACAGTCATTACACTTCACAAAAAATGTCCACTATGTCATCATATTTGAGACGCGATGCAATTGATTCATCATGCTGTTTTATTATTAATAAAAATATCGAACGTTTATTAATAAGGTAAATATTAGTAACAAGTTTTTGCCTTGTGAGTTTAATTGTTTGGTTATTTTATAGGCCCGATTCATTTCCATATCATTTATGTAGTATACAAACATCTGATGAACATTCAACATCTCGTCTTGAATTTGATCCAAAACGACAAGCTCTATCAAGATTTTTTTATTGGAAAACATGGATTCGTTCATTTGAAACAGCCAGACATCATGCAAATATTCCAAAAATGGCTGCAGATATTGTTTTAGATACATTTATAAGGTTAAAATTTTGTGCATTATGTTTTTAATATAAATATTTCTCTTTTTTATTAATAGACGTCGATTACATGAAGGTTTTCATTTTGCGGCGTCTCATAATGATATACACAATCTCGTATTAGAAGTTAAAATGAATGTCAGTAAAAGAAAACAATGTATCACTTTCTTTCTAAACGTGTAGTATGTTTTAGACAAACAGTGAAGAATCGTTTGGTACATTTTCTGATAATGACGGACTGAAATCATATATGGACGACAAAATACAAACATGTTTAATTCAATATATTATTTATCCAATTCAATGTGGAAGACCAATAGAACGGTATTGTGTACTGATTTTTTAGTTTTATTGTATGTAACTAGAAGATAATAATTTTATAGAAAAGTATCTGGTGGAACTGACCGACGAGGATCATCTAATATTGAACCTCCAATGTTTTATTATATTGTTACACAATGTTGGATTGAACCACAGCATGGTGTCATCGAAACTAACGCTTCAGAATTAAAATTTCTTAACAACTGTACATACAAAGAAATTGTGAACAAGGTAGGACAGTGATTGATTTCTTTACATTGCTTAAAAGTAATTATTACACAAGATATTGAGATTAAATTACGTGCAATCATAAAAATATAACACAATTAATTTTGATTAATACACCATATAATAATACTTATTTTTAGTCAAATTTAGTTTGCATTCGTTCGTATATATCGAATGTTACGTATTGCGTGTTTCAAAGGTTTTCATTGGTTATTTTAATTCTTAATTTTAATCTTATAAAAAGGCTAATTTTAAATATTAACTGGTAGAAGTATAAAGCATCTTGTTTTTGAGGATGATATTTTTGTAATTTCCTTGAAAGCTGGCATATATCCTAATACTAGTGACGGCTTGAAGAAGTTGGAGCAGAGGAACTGTAGTTGCAAAAATTAGAGTAAATTTACTCTACTTTTTCATGAATCTGTAATTGATTTAGATTCTGTTTCAATCAATGGACATAGACCCTCGTTCAACAAAAACAGTAACATTGTTTCTGTTGTTGTCAGATTTAGATTCAGATTTGTTTATTTAGTATGATAAATAGAAAGTTACAGTAATGGTCAATCTTTCTTTTGATGTGTGCTGGATGATACTTGGTGACCGTCAGTTTAGCTTATTGTTATTGACTAAAAAGACCGTTGTCTCTCTCTAACTCACTTATAGCATCCACGACTTGATTTACTTGATAACTCGGCTGAACTTTGCATCAAATTAGTCATCTGATCAGAGCTGCAATTGATGTCTAGTAACGACCATGTCAGAAGCTTATCAGCTAGCTGTAGGAAAGATATCGGACTATTGGAACTGACACTTGTCAACACTCTACATGAGTAGAATGTTGATGTCAACCGCAAGGCGGGTATTCTTCTTCTTCCATGACTTAGCATCATGTACATTCTAAAACAAAAATTGTCTTAAAATAAAACGGTAAAAGTCCATTCTCGATTAGTGAGATACATCTGTCTTATTTTAAGACGGATCAAATTATTTGTCTTATTTCTATTAGCAGGTTATTTCTAAGAATAATTCTGTTGTGCAGGACTGCGAGAGTATCCCAGATAATGACCATATCAATGATTTTAGTAAGACATCAAAATAAATTGTCAAGTTCTTTCGCAGAAATCATTGTTTTTTATACACGAGTGACGAACGCAAAACAAAAGAGATGAATGACATCTTCGTCAATTGTAGAAGTAAGACGAAAGAACTACTGGCAGAAGCAAACGTCGTAAAATAAGATGGATGCAATAGAAAGAAGAATAGTATACGCGGCATGTTTTTTAGAGTGTAGAAAACTGATCATTTGCATTATTATTATTATATTTTAATAATAATAATAATATTGCAATTCCTTAATGATAGTCTTTGGCGGAGACAATTGAAGACTGAGTAATCCAGCATTAATGATCCCTCAGTTTCAATTATTTTTTCTATAAATTTTACGTTTTAACTTTCTTATCTTAAAAAATTGTTTGACAAGTCATTCTTCAAAAATCATTACTTTTTTAAAAAGAATTTAACTACTACTTGGAAACAAGATTCTAGTCTGAAATCTTTAGGAATCACCTTCAACGTTTTGAAAATTGTATAGACTTTTTCTATTTAAAATGCCATAACTCACCAATGTTTAGTGCTTAGAGGCTAAAACACTTTCAGAACGATCAGTTTTCTACATAAGCTATACCTATACAAAATATCTAGCTATTGTCACTTCGATCGTGTGTTACTGTGGTAATGATCCTTTTGGTCATCACTGTAGTTTCTAAAGATACATGGTATATTTTTTAGGAGTACATTATTTTCTCTGAAAGCTCTGAATAACCTTCATCTCCACTAGCACATGTAAAATAACCGTATTTGACACTCAGTAGTGTATTCTAATGGGAGACGAGAATTTGAGTTGGTATGGGCAGTAAGGAAAAATGTCTAAATTCATTAATTTTTCACATGTCTATCGATCATTGACGTCTATTATTAAGAGTATAATTTTAAATTATTAGATTTTGCTAAATATTTAAACTTGTAGTTGTCAGAGCTGAGTTGTGTACATTAAAATTAAAATAAGATGATAAATTTACTATTTTCAAATTGTGACATTCTAAATTGATTGTTTAAATAATTCATGATCAACTAACTGTTAATGAAAAAGATATATAAAAAAGATACCATTGTGACTGCTAACTTTTTCTGTTTATTCTTGATCTTAACAATGTGTCGTCATCATCAATATCATATCTTTGTTCAATACAAGAGTTTTTTCTTCTTCTCTATAATCTCTGTTGTTTACTCAGTATTGACGACCGAAAGAAAAACACTTGAGTATGATGTATACTGTTAACCATTTCTAACACATGATATCACAAAGCTCAAAGTTATTTTTAAAATATAATCAATTTTTATTCTACTCATCATACCGACTAAAAGAAAAATGTTTAAATATTATTATCGCGATAATTAACAAAGAATGAAGTGCAAATGATAAATTTTTGTTTGCTACTTGAAATTTAGATCGTAAAAAGAAAAATTGTTGTGTTTCACTAAATGGTGATTTTAATATAGTCTATGCGTAGAAACTTAGAGAAATGAATGTCAAAATGAACAGTTTCTTTGAATTTTGTGCTTTATCTTAATCACAAAAGATTCAAGTTGATATACGATGTCCTAATTTTGAATACCATCGTTCTAAAGAAGAGTTAACGTTTGTTTGTATCGATGCTCTTATTTTTCATAAAAATATGTCACAAGGTTAAGATTACAGTTATTTAACACTTAAAAATCTTCATATAATACGTCAACGAAAACCAAATTTTGTACATTTAAATTTTCAAAAAAAGAAATAAGCACTGTGGAATAACATTTATCTATGGTCGAGAGTAAATGATCACTCATCTGAAGTAAGGCTGGAAAATGCCTAGTAGTCACCAATGTAGCAATATGAACCGTCTACTAATTTATTTATATAAACGAGTAATAACTACTCGACTAATTAAGGTTGTTCAATCTTGCGTAGATCCAACTATTAATTATTCACACGCGTATTTATACATTCATAAAAGAATATCTTATGAAACTATTCTAATTGTACAAAACGAGTCAAAACATTTGAAAGTTACATAGTTACTTTAAATGACGTGCTTTACAAAATTTCTGTCAATATTGAGATTATGTGTGTTAATAGAGAAAGTTATATTTGTTTGTTATTTTAAAACTCTAAAATTTAGAAAGATAACTTTAACAGACTTAGATGTTTCTTACATAATACGTTATCTAAATTGAAAATAAATTTTTGATAATACAGTTAGTCTATGCAAAAATGGATTAACGATAGATAGTGACTAATTATTGTTTGAGTTTTATTGAAATATTTATTCAATAATGTATAAATTGTATAACATTAAAAGAGTTTTTATATTGTTTTAAGAAATCGAATGCTTTGATTCAAAGTCTTTTAGATATTTGCGCGCAATTTTGTTTTTTTAACTGACGTTCATTTTGAGAACTGTACATCTTTATTTTGTAATATATCTGGCATCAACATCAAAATAGTCTTTTCGAGAAAACATAATAGTAAAATCTTTCTACATATTTAAAATTCGACAGTACTTTCTTTGACCATAATACAAAGAATTTGATCTTTTGAGAGAATAAAGTGTTCAAATAAATTTTCAGTATTATGTAGTATATGATAGTTGAATATTTGACTGATAAATAAAGTATTAGTCTTCTTTGGATCGAAACATTTTTGTTCAACAACTAAGACTTTTTACCAAAAAAATGATTCTGACTAAAAATCGAAATAGAGTTAGTCATAGGAATTAAATCCAATAATCCTGAAAAATAAATAATACAATTGAATAGACTATATGATAAATCTTTGTCGTCCTTTAGTTCAGAGTTCTAAATATTGACTCAATGGCGGTACTTTTACATAATAATTTAAAAGTCTACTCTCTTTTTCTCAGCAAACAAATACCTCAAAGCTTAATGTTTTCAAACTCTTTGAAAGCATTTTTAGAAATTCATACTATCTTAGATGGAAAAATTTTTATTACCTTCGTTTAATATTTCCTTCTTTCACGATTGTGGCTAAGAGAATTCTCTAATTAGAGGTGCAGAATCTACCCATGAGTTTGAAAATTTTCCATGAACGGTAAAAGTTTTGAAAAATTTCCACATTTGAAATTTAGAAAAGGCTTTTATCGGTTTATTTCTTATTATTCGAAAATTTTTGAAATTTTCCTATGTGGAAAAATTTCACATTTTTTCCGTTGGAAAATTTTTCAAAAATTTCCACAGCTTCCACAACTTTTCCACGTATGTTCGTATGCGCACACTAGTAGATTTCGCACCTCTCTCTCTAACTTTCATACAAATTAATTATTTGTTAGAAAAACTCAAAATTATCCGTTTATTACAAGAGTCAAAGAAGATCTTTCGAACATCTTTCTTTCTCTTTCACGTAGTCTAAAGTTTATTTTTCCAAATCCAAAATAGTTTGATGTATGTGCGTTTTGTGTGTCAAGAAATAAAGAAGGAGAAGAACACTTGAGTTTATCTTTAGTGTATATGGATAAGAACTATGTAATATTATTTTTTTTTTTCTTTCTTTTTTCGTTTTCGTTGTACTGTTGAAATTATCTAAATGAAATAGAAAAGAAAAATGAGAAAATTATTATGCAGGTACAAAGAGAGAGAGTAGCTAAACAACCAACAGTATTTAGGTGACTGTTTAATTAAAGAAAAAAAAAAAAAAAAAGAACCGAAGAAGAAAACTTTGCTGTCTCTTTGAGATAATAATATTTATTGTTTACTAATGAAGAAGAATCATGGTTGGCTTTTCAACAGATCACAAAATACAGACATTGGTCAAAGAGATTTTTGTTTTCTTCTTTTTTCTCTCTCTCTCTCTAACTGATGACACTTCTTTAGTATAAATAGTCAAGGCAATTTTTTATAAATTTAAAAACGTTTTATTTTATTCATCGTATCAAAGAGAAAGATTTTCGATTGGAGCTGGAAGATGGATCGCGACATAGTAACGCAATGTCAGATCTATATTCTTCCATGCTCAAAGTGAAAATCTTATACATACAAGTTATTTATACTAAGTAAGTGGTATCATCCTCACTTTTCTTTTCGTTTTGTTTCTTTTTTATTATACGATAATCTATTCTAATTTGGTTTAATCAACTTTTATCCCAAGAAATTTATAGATATAACTATAACCTTTTCATTTTTCTAAACTGTTTTCGCTTCTTCTTCTTCTTCATCTTTTTTTTTTCACTCTTTTTCTTTCGTTGATGCAATAAATTTGTCAAGGGCATTTCTTCTTCTTCTTCTTCTTCTACTCTTTTTGTTTTTTTGTCCTAATAGATGCTCGTTTAAATTCAATCATTTTTTCCTTTTTTGTTATTAATACTTTCGTTTTTGTTTTTATCATAGAAAATTTTGTTATACCTTTTTTTTTAAAAAAGCGTATCACTTTATCATCAGATAGTAGTCGTCGTCGTCGTTGTCGTTGTGTTTTAATTGTCCTTTCTATAGTATAATAAAACAACAAAAAAACGGTTTAAAATTCGTTTACTGATTTCGAGAAGAGTGAGTATTATATATTTAGATGATTGTCTACTTCTTAAAAGTATTAGCGAATAACAGTCAATTATTGTTAGAATATTATAAGGTAGTACAGTATACATTACCAAAAATTCATTGTCATCATGCAACACTGAGTAAATAGTGTAGACTCATTTTGCTTGAGATTTTTTTTTCTTCTTCTTCTTCTTTATTGCCTGATAAATCAAAATATTCATTTTTGAAATTTAAAATTTGAGAATGAATGATGATGATAACAATAGATCGTATTGTAACTGATAATATTATTTAAATCGTCAATTTTTTTTTTTTTTTTTTTTTTTTTTTTTTTTTATTTTACTTTCTATTTTCTCTCTTTCGTAACATCACAGATTAAATTTCAAAAAATTCAGGGTACACATTTTATTTTTATTCAGATTTTTTTTTACTTTCGAATTCTTTTGTTATTAAAATTTCTTTTTTTTCTTCTTTTTCCAGTCGTTCATTCTTTCTCTCTTCTCCATTGTAATCGAATTCAGTTTTACACAGATTATCAACAGCTGGTAAAGTTCATAAATAACAAAAAACACACACATCATCATCATGATCATTCTATTTTCCTTGATAAACTCCTCCAACTTTGTTTCATTTCTTTTTTTTCGTTCTTCTTCTTCAAATCCCTAAATCATTTTATTTCACCCTCGATGATTGATTATTACGTCTTACGTATACTCTCTTCTCTCTTTTTACTCTCTGCTCTATTTTAGACAAACATTACATTCATATTTCTAATAGTTACACTGTCATCATCTTCAAATTTCATTCTGTGTATATGTGTGTAATGCCTGTATATTTTACTCCTTTTCCGTTATTAATTTCTTATCTCGTGCGAATTTAGACAGTCGGTACAAATTAAAAAGCTTATTTATTCCATATTTTACCTTTTGTTTCTTTTAATATTAAACGATACAAATTTCGATTAGTTTTTCAGCTGTTTTCAAATTGTGGTCAATTTCTCTTAGCATTTCGATGTAGTACTCTTTGATATCACACACGATAAACGAATAAATCTTAAAATCTGATATTTTTTTATATCAACTACTGTAGGAAAGAATGTGAGACAAAGTTTTTCTACAATCTGAATCAAACAGGTATTCTTTAAATTTACGAATTATATTTTTTAAGTTTTAGAGTAAAGTTAGAACGATTATAGTTTAAATCTAGCTGTACTATGTTAATCATTCTTCTTAGATATTTTAAATCTCACTTATATATGAAAATATTTTTGTTCAGTTATATTTCTTTCTTTTTTTTTCTTTCTTATTTTATCATGTTTTCGTTTGAAAGAAGTAACTCGGCTCGATTAAGTGGAGCAGTTCGTCTCACCTGATATGTTTTTGGTGAGATTCTATTCCTCCACTTCTTTGTTGCCAGAATAAACTACGTAAATGTTGACAGTTGACATGAATGATGATAATTTAAAATAGATTTCGGTTGAGGTAAGCTGTATATTAAAATTAAAAAAAACAAAAACAATAACAACAACAAAATATATTGATATTTATTGTGTACAAAAATCATATTCATTGTTTAGCTTATTTAGAAATTCAATATTAAAATATTGTGTATTATATCATAGTTAAAAATAGCAGTAACAGAAAGTGATAGATGAATTATCATCAAATTGATGTGAACAATATGGTATGAAGTTTATTTGTGGTCAACTATTAATCATTTGAGTCAAATTAATTTTTATACAATTGTTTAAAGTGATTATCATATTTATACAATATTCGATTGAATTTTTATTCTTGTTATTTTTATTTTTCGAAAGACATTTCTTATATGACGTGAAATAAATCGACACATAAGAGTGTTTATAACATATACCATATGGCAAAATATTTTTGGTTACAAAAAAAGAGAAAAAAAAGAAGCATAATGAACTAAGAAATAAACTCAAATATCTTTTTTGTTTTTCTCTAATATATTTTATCTTTTAAATTCAATTTACAATAAATTGTATTCTATTTTTAAGATATTGCATCATTGATTTAGGATATTTTGAAACAGTGTAGCTAATTTAATTAAACATAGGTTAAAAATTTTTGTTTTTCCAGTTTTATCGTTTTTTAAATTTTTTCTTTTTTTTTGTAAATATTTGAAGATTAGTATAGATTTAGATTGATATAACATGAAACACATTCCATTTACTATTTCATCAATTCAAAAATTCAATACAAATTTGAACAAATAAATGAATCTAGAATAAAACATCACTTTCACATATCTGTTTAATGGTGTTAGTAGAAAACATCATTTGTTTGGTATTAATAATATAAAAGATGTACACATTATTCAAACATTTACATAAATTCTGTGAAACAGATTCTTCATTATTCTATCATGAGTGAAATATTAATTAATAAATGGTTTGAAAACTTTCAAATACTTAACTATTCAAACTAGAGTAAATAATTATACTTTGCAGTAGATGACTCAATTAACCAGAGTCTATATAAAATTTGTGTAATAATTACTTTATGATAAGAAATTCATTATCGACTACAAATCAATAGTTTTTGCATGTATTTAGATTGATCAAATTGATGCTGAATGTTTCAATACACTCGTTTCATTCTATTTTGTCAAGCATTTAAAAGAGTGTAAAATCAATAAATTCACTTCCCCATTTCAATATATTCAGAGGTAATAAAATTTCGTTTTCCAAACTTCTTGTACATGAAATTTTTTCACTGACAGTTGATATGTAGCATGTTCTAACACAAACAAATGGACCAGAATACATAGCATATTTTCAACTTTTTTAGACTCATTTAAGTTTATTTTTTATTTTTTTGGAAAAGATTTACCATATCATTCTCTACAAAAAAAAACCATATTGAACGTTTTTCTATATAGTGGAAAAATAAAAGAATATAAAGGAAATACTACAAATTTTCAATCTCGATAATTTTCTAACTTAAAACATAACGCAAAAATTGTTTTGAACACGGTCCCATGCAAACAGAGTGAAATCGAAATGTATGTCGAGTGTTTTGAAGTCTCGTCTCTCTTTTTCGTGTATCATCGATTCGCTTTAAACTAGAGATCTACACGGACAAGATTTTTTTGTCCGTAATCCTGTCCATGGTGCTTGTCCGTGTCCGTGCAAAAAAAATGTATTTTTTTCTCTCTGATGTGCTGCAGACGTGGTGTTTTTTTGTAAAATCTCTGCCCGTCTATGTCCCCGAACAGTATGGGCATATCCGCGGCTACGAGAATTCCCGTGCCCGTGCAGATCTCTAGTTTAAACGTCTTCTCTGGCACACAAAAGGCAACTTTTAGCAACATTCAGCAGAAAAAGGGAGACGTAGGCGCTTTTGCCTCGATACAGAAAAAGTAATCGAGTTATTGAACTTTATCTACTCGTATGGGATAGAAGAATTCTTATGCTTTAAGACAGAACAAACTCGATCTCAAAATGTTTAATTTTGGCCGAGTCAGAAAAATTTTCTTAACTATTCCAAAACTGCAGTTTAAAAACGATGATTTTTGACAAAATCGATAGAAGGAAACCGTTCGTGGCTATGAAGAACTGTAATTGTAACCAGTTGACAGAGCTTTTCAAGAGCTATAAAATGTCCATCTTCTCATTTACATATCTCAGAAGAGGAAGAGCTAAAATTGGAAAAACTATCTTTTTGGTGGGAAGATTGTCGAGATTGAAGTTTTCCGTATTTCCTGTATATTCTTTTATTTTTCCATTATATAGAAAAACGTTCAATACGTTTTTTGTAGAGAATGATATGGTGAATCGTTTGCAAATAAAATAATAAACTCAAATGAGCTGTGGAGGAGAAGAAAAGTTGAAAATAAGGAATGGTCTACGCATTATAAGAGAGCTATTTTCGTTGCTATTGTTCCTCGATCATGGATATATGGAAAAAAAAGCAACGTCTTTTCAAACATGTTGCTCATTATAGTTCACGAACACGACGTTTTAATACAACCGAGACAGATCCTGATATTTCACGTACAATCTTTACATGTGATATTCTTAATTTAATTCGACGATCTCATCAATCTTATTTGAATTTTTCAGCATTTTTTGAAGGTAAAAAAAACGAATTATTAATAAAAATTGTATATTTATTTTTTTTCATCATGTTTTAAACAAAAAAAAACTTTCATATATTTAGATTTCGATGGTTTACGTATGCAATACGTTCGTAATATGTTACCATCACGCGGTGTTAATATAACATTGATGAATGTTTTTCATGAAAGAATTCGAACATATTATGATAAAAAACCAATATTATTAGATCGACATGAAATTCATATATTTACATACGAATTAGTTAAACGTTGTCATTCTCATTTACCATTAGGTTTAAAAAAAATTAAAACAAACCCTTATTTAATGTATTTATTAAAAATAGCCATGTCAACAAATCAATCAATTATAAAAACATCACAAAATAAATTAAATGATATTACAACAAAATTAATTGAAGAAACAATAAGACTTGAATCATATTTAATTGATATGTTATTTCCAATATGGGATTTATATGTTAGAATTGAAGGTGAAGATCATGTTTATTTAACACTATTACCAAAAACGACAAGAGATTTATTATTATTAAATACAAATTTAAATAAACTTTTATGTTTATTATGTGAAGAATATTATGCTAAAGAATATAATGATAAAATATTGTATACCGATAGTCAATTTATAATAAATAAATTGTTAGATGATATAGATACAATGAATGAAACAACAGTTACTTATCAACCACCAGTACCATTACTAACATTAGAAGCTTCATCTCCTTATATTAGACGATCATCACCAAAATCAATTTCATCTTCATCAAATTCAAATAGTCCATTATTGTTATCACCACAACAAACATATCTTGATAATTATTCAGTTCAAACACATACGAATCATCGTACACGTACACAACGTCATCAACAACAACAGCAACAAAAAAAATCATTACAACCATTACATGCTTCACATGATTGTTTTCCTATTTCATCATCACCAATAATGATACCACATGAACTATTAAAACAGCCTCAATCATCATCACAACCAAATTCATCCTATACAGGACCATTACCAATATTTTCAAATCATCCTAGTCGTGTTAGATCACCAACTATTGATAGTAATATAAATAGTAGTGAATATTCAAGATCTCCAAGACGTTATTCAACATCGGCAATTGCAACAAATGATCGAGTAGATTATTTACAACAACAACAACTAATAAAATCATTAAAACATCAAAAAAAAGATGAACCTCAATGGTATATGCCAGTATTTATGTATAGTTGTAGTAGAAATCAATTAACAAAATCATTGACAATGAATTTAACAGATACAAATGTATCTCAAAAATTACATCGTGATGATTCTTATTGGGATTATTCAAAAGATGAAGATCAACCAATAAAACAACGAAAGAGAGGTATGTTTAACAAATTTATATTATTTGTTCATTATTTTTATTATGTTATTACTATTAAATAATAGTTATCATAAACTCTTTTTTATTTTCATTTTCAAAAAATTTACTTTTATTCATCAAAATTGAATAATATTTCTTTAATTACTGTAGTTTTGATGTAAGATATTGGTCAGAGTTAATTTAAACTCAACAATTTCCTTCATAGTACACAGTGGGCATTCAGGTGGAAATTTAGAAAAAAAACAGTGAGCTTGCTTTTTCGTAATTTAAATAGTGTGTCATATACTTCGAGTGACGGCCGATTTAATGACGAAAGAATTTTTATTCTACAACTTTTCCTTCTATAAAAGATTTGAAATGCAACAACACCATGTAAATGCGCTATTTTTTCGGAAAATTTCGATTTTTATTGAAGGATAGTAAATTAGAATAAAATCGAGATCATATTCGGAAAGAACACAGTCAGACGAATACGAAATAAAAAAGAATTTTGTTTTTCGAGTGAAACTTAAGAGTTTTGGAATGGATTCTTTCGAAAACGGTCTAGGCTGTAAAGGCTCTCTCTGGTATTTTGAGAACGCGCAGCTTAGCGCAGTTCTGAACTAACATATTTTTATATCAAAATGTTCCTCGCGAGGCCGTGCATCTATGGTGAATGCGCAAAAGTGCGCATATTTTCCTGGACTGAGATATTGGTTTTCCAAAATCCCTCAGTTTTTGAGGTAAACTGACTTTTTCGCACTCAAAAAACATTTTTTCCTACATGATATATATATATTCGGAATCACCGTGAAAAACTGCAAGGATGGTATATAATTCATCTGAATTCGGTCCTTCCGTTCTGAATTCTATAAATTTCTTAGATTTGGAATTCACACGAAGAACTTTTCGCTGAAAATTCAAAATTCAAGAGAGAAACAGTGGAAGGTCTGAAAAAAACTGCTTCTATAGGTTATCGACGATGCTCTATCCAATGGAATGGTTTTTCAGTTTAAAAACGTTTTTCAAAGGGTTTTCCACAAATTCGGTCTCTGGAAAACCCGCTGAAAAACTTTGTCGAAAAATAAACTTTGTACGAAAACTATTCCATTGGAAAGAGAATCGTCAAAAACCTATAGAAAGTGGTTCAGATAATTTCAATCCACTTATAAAGTTAATGTCCGCCTGCTCTAGCGGAAAATGCCCACTGTTTAATACTCTTATTTTGTATTTATTATCACAATTTAATATGAACGACTATAGATAATTGTTTTTTTGTTTGTCAAGCTTCAATGGAAGTATCATCTTCAACTATAAATGTGTATTCCAATACAGAAGGTACCTTTGTTTGTTGTTAAACAATATTATTATTCCATTTTATTTAAAGAAAAATTAAAAATCTCTGCTTCCTATTAGCCATAAATTAGTTTCCAATAATGTTTTCATATTATTTATTTTACGCTTTATTTATATTTAAAAAAAGAAACAACAACTCACGATACATATTTTTGCATGCTAAAAGAATAACGTGAGATATTTTTAGTTAACTGTTTAATTATTGTTTCGGGGGTATATTACATTAGAGAATGTATTTGAAAATATTCATATTAAGTTGTTTCTAACATGTGTATGCTTAAGAAAAGAAAAAATGACTAATTAATTCGTTATTGCATTTATGCATGCTTTTATTTTTATATTTATTTTTTCTATATGTATGGTAATAACAGTCTGCATGTGTTCGCTCATAGAATTGAAATTAGATTAATATCAGAAAAATACTAGATACAACAATACTATTTGGGTTAACGATTAAATTTTATTAAATCTTATAAAAATATATATGATCTTTACATAATTTCAGTTTATATAAAGATGTTAGAACAGCTTCTCTTTATCCATAATTATTATTATTCTATATTTTTACTTATTTTTTTTTCATATTTTTAGACACGTCTCGTTCATTGGGTGGTTTAATAACTCAAAATGAGGAAGAATTTACCATGGCACTTGGAAAACAATGTGATGAATTACGTGATTTATTTGATTGTGCTTTTTCTATTGGTATATATTTTTTATCCTTCTTTTTGAATAATAATTAAATAAATAATTTCAATATTCTTTTTTTCTATTTTAGCTTTTTATAAAAATTGTTTATTAAAATTATCGTCGACTCGTCATGATGTTGATCATGCATTAAGTGCAAGTTGTCATGAACATTATGAAGAAATAAATTTAACTCCATTTTTAAAAGCTATTTGTTCACATTTATCACAAGCGAGTGAAGATGAGTAGGTTTTACTTATTTATTAGATAATTTAGAATTGTATGATATTTCTTTTATCTTTTTAGTTATATTATCGTAAATGACATAAAAGAACATGAATGTCAATCAGTTTTATGTAGTTATTTGGAAGAAAAATTTTTAGCTATCATTAGTAAATATTTCGGTAGAATTGAATCCCATCCAGATTATTTCTATTATTGTACAGATGAAGAAATACAGGTAGATATATTATGATAGAAAAGTAATATTGTTTAATTTTAATTCATTTTTTTGTTTTTAGACTCAAACCGTTGGTTTTGAAGAACAATCATCCGATGAAGAATGTAATTGATAATTGATAATAATTATATTTATTTATTATTTTTCTATTTTATTTAGTTAATAATAATTTAAGTGCAAATTTTGATGAATCATTTCCAAATAATCCATTTGTACGAGCATTTAATAATAGTCGTACAACAGTCGATGAGAAAAGTGATAATGATGATGATGATGATGAAAGACAATCGGTTATTATTCATGATGATGATTATGATAATGGAAGTAATGATAGTTATTTACATAAATTTCGTCGTGGTAGTTCATCACCCATTCATCATATTAATCATTTACAACAACAAAAAGAAACATCACCATTATTCATATCATTTAGTTGTCGATTAAAAATGAAAGATTATGATAGAAATGTTGGTGTCTCAACTATACCACTTTGTATAGGTAAAATATTTATTTAATCTTTTTCTATAAATAATATTTTGAATTTTTTATTTCTTTTTTATAGGTAATATTTTCCGATATGTTCGAGATTTTGGTGATACAACAAAAATTTCTTACAATGATTTAAAAGTTTCATTTGATTTAATATGTTTAACATTTGGAAAAGAAGAAAATGATCTTCCAATAGCTGCTACACCAACAAGTTTTCAATTAGAAATGCAAAAACGACAATATTCGGGTAATTCTGCCAGTTCAATTGATCAATATTTAAGAATTGATGATGATAATGATGTAATTATATCCGATAATTTAAGTACAGCCACATTTGATCATACAAAGTACGTAAATAAAAACATATTTCTATTCCTATTTGAATAATAAAATAAATGACGATATATTTTGACAAACAATTCTATTTTGTTGAATAGTCACTATATATCTTAATACATGTTTTATTTTAGACGTCAGTTGAATTCATTGAAACTTTCAGAGTCTCAACGTGAAGCAATTCGTCTTTGTAAACGAGAAGTAATTTTCTCTATTATTTTGTCTTTTTGAAATAATATGTGATAAAACGATATCACTTTTAGATCGAATGGTTATTACATGATGAACAATTATCAACATATTTTAATCATTTATTAGATACAAAATTAATTGAAAAAGTCATCGAACATGTACAATCATCAGTTGAAATAGCTAAAACAAATTGTTCAAGTCAATCATTATCGTTACAATTTGTATTTGGAAATGAAAAATCGAAATTAGTCTTTTTACCAGTAAATGAAACTATTTCTTTCACCAATAGATATATCTTAAAACAATTGAAAGTTATTTTTTTATTTTTTAAATAGGAATTAAACGATATTCTCATTGATAATAAATATCGTCTAATTAAACTTGGACGTCATTATGTGTTGATTCAACCGAGAGCACCAGTATCAATCGAAGACAATGAAAATGAAGTGAAAAATGATGAAATAAATGAGTTACATGAACATGAACATGAACATGAACAAGGTACGTATCTATTCATTTTTGATCTAATAATTTATCATTGTAAATATTTTATTTATTTTTTTTTATTAGCTTCTTTAACAAATACAAGTGATACATTATCAATTGCTACTGAATCATTTGATGAGAATCGAAACGGTGATGAATCAAGTGAACCGAATTCTCAAGATTTTTCAAGATCCTATAGTCAATCACCAACAATTGATAATATTGAAAATTCAATAATTCATATTCATGTAGAGTATGTACGACCAACATTTTGGTTATTTATGGATTTAGTAGAAATTCCTGCACAAGAATTACAAGGCGCAATAAAACCAAATTTAGAAACAATTGAAGCAAAATTTTATTTATATTGCGGGTAAATAATTAAACAATATATATTTTGTTTAATTTTATTTATTTTCATTCATCATATAAAAATAGTTCATCATCAAATATGTCACAAGAATCATCTGAAGCTCAATCAGTATTAAATAGTTTAATTGAACGTTTACGTCAGTTATGTCATGTTGTTAATCAAGTATGATTTTATCTATTCTATTCATATCTATGTGTGAATATTTCGTATTTTTATATCTAGAAATTACTATTAGACAGTCTAGAAGATACACGAATATGTAATTCATTATTAGTACCAGCAGGAGAAAATGATGATGTCACACAAGGTTTGACACTGTTTTGATGAAATTTTTTTGTTTTTTAATTCAATAACAAATTTATTTTATTTTAGATATGGATTGTCCATTATTACCGGCCAATTTACAAATGCAACCAGGTGAATTTGCTTGTGAGCAAGTGTGGACTCAAGGATTCATTCTTCATCCACGATTACGGCAAACACATATTCCAGGCCTTGGAAAATTACAGCCTATCGGTAAGTTTTTGTTGTTGTTGTTGTTGTTTATTGATTTTAACGAGTGAATCAGAATCAACACTATTCTTCTCAATATTTTCATCTATCCCGTTGAAGAGATTTTTCTTTTTTCATATTTCTAAAAAATTATCGTTTTCATTGTGCAGTTTTATGCCATATAATAAAAGTCGTATATTTCTGGAAAATTTTCAGTTTCAATTTATTTTCAATTCGGATTTTTTATTTTGAAGCAGAATAATTAGCACATGATTTTTCGAAAACTTAACTTTTGAATAAAGTTAATTTTTCTAATGGAACGATCGAAAAAGATCATATTTTAGCTTTATGAATCGGTTCTAAAAAAAGTTTACATTTGCGACGTGTGATTTAATTTAAACAAAATTTACTATACATAACGAGAAAGCGTACGCTTGATTATACAAAAAAATCTTAGTCTGGCCTATTTCAATGGTTATTCAACTCATAAAAAACTTTTAAATCATGTTTAAAAGAAGATATTTGAAAGTTTAGAATTTGACCAGTATATTCATCGAAATTTTCCATTTATATTGCATCGAAAACCTTTCTCATACGTTCTTGTAGAGAATTTAATAGAGAAAATTTTTTTAAAAATTTAACTCTAAGTGATATGAAGTGAAAAAATTTATTCAGAAAATATTGAGAAGAATACGTATTCTAGCCCATTCATTGTTTTACTTAATCGAAACTTTTATTCTTATACTAACTATAAAATTCTATAGACATACATTTTTTCTATTTGAAGGTCATGCATTAGCTATTCAATATGATTCATTTGCTATTCAAAATCGAAAAAATTTATTTGTTTATTCCATTGATCATAATGTATATTATATGAGATTTCGAGAAGAACTACAGCAACAACCGGAAAAAATTGATGAACCATATAATAAAGCGTTAACATGTTCGCCTGAATCACCATCACAACACCGACAATCATCTCCAACAATACAATTTCATCAAAGACAACGACATGATTCAGTAAGAAATTGATCACATATTTCTATTTTATTTCTTACATCATGTTTATTCTCTAATTAGGGAAGTACTCAAATTTCAGTTGTCTTATTTGGTTTAAGAAATGCACGTATGATGTTTTTTATTTTAACATTAAATTATCGAATAGTGGCTTGCATTTTGTTTTTTATACTATAGATATTAATTCACAGTCTTTCAAGGATGCAATTCAAATTCTTGTGCAAACTATAACACGTCGTCTTGAAGAAGAAACATTAAAAATATTAGTTTATGCAATTTATCGTGCTAATCGTATTCGTTTGAATCCTGAAGATGTTACAGTAAGTTAAAATAAAGAATTTATTGAAATTATAATTTAATATTTTTCTTTTCGCTTTAGTTTTTTCGTCCAGACGACAGTGAACCAAAATATGTTTTTGATTATGAAATATCATATCTAATAAATTCAACAACAATTTTACAATATTTTATACGTCATATCAAGACAAATCTTCCACAACAAACATTTTTATTGTTACCATGTTTAGCAAAAGAATTAAAGGTATCTATTAAAAATGATACAAATTATTGATTGGTTTCTTGATTTTGATATTGTTTTTTCTAGGAAATAATAAAGGATTACAATGGACAAATACCATTAGTGTATAATAAAACACTTAACATGGTTGGAAGACAAGGTAAGTTGACGGTTATTTAGGAATTTGTCACATGATTATCATATCATCTAGAGAGAAAAAAAGGGACAAGTTTTATATACAAAACCCTCTTTTGTCTGTAATAAACATTTATTTTTTAGCTATTGCATGGATTGAGTTCATTTTAAATCCAACAAAGACAAATCCAATGGCCCGTTCACTTCAAAAAGATGATTTGAATGAATCTTTAACATTTGATACGCTAGCTGAAATGACCCATATTGAACGTGTAAATGTCCAACCAACACAACTTCGTAAGAGAAAATAGTTACATTTAAGCAGATATTTCATGATATTTTATTTAAAAGGTCTTTCAAATATAATTCGTTTTAATGTTTGGGTTCGTGGTGGAGGAATTGATGTTGAACCACAACATATTTCAAATGCACTTGTTCAAGCATTAGAATGCGCATTAGCTGATTACATAACTGAATGTAGACTATTTCCGTTCGTATTCAGTGGATCGTTGGCATCATCCACTTTATCATCGGCAAAAGCAACAACAGAAGTATCTGCTACCACTAAATATACGGCCGATGATACAGTTTTTTCATTGGAACGTGCACCTTATGAAATTGAACAATCAACAGTGCGAACTGGAATACAATCCAGACGAGTAAGTTAAACATTTTGATCATTATCATAGTTCACTCATCATCAAAAGTTCTATTCTAACCGTTTCGTCTGTTATTTCTTTTAAATTTATCCACCATTTTCATTAAACTAAATTAAATTTGAGTCTGTAGTACTGTGGACAAGTAGAAAGAAAAATAACAGCCAATAGGACTATCTATCGATAAAATGAGCCCCTATGAACTATTTATATATTTCGATGACAGTATCTGATTAATAAATAAACTTTCAATATCAAAGTTAAACTTTATTTCAAATTCACAATTTTCTTTAAAAATAAATGATGATCTTCGTTTGAACGTTCATTAAGTGTGCAAGTTCAATTCATTATGATCTTGAGTTAGTAACAATAATCAAGATTAAAATGAATATTCTACAACGTTTGTATGTGAGTGTGTATGTGTGTGTATCTATCTATTTCTTTTTCTAGCATTCTACCAGTAGTGCATCCAGTCTATTCAATATTTTTTCTAAAGTTAAATCGGTACCAAATTCTCCTATAAAAAATTTACAGGTGCTTCTGTATTTTTATTTGCGTAAAGTTCTTGAAAGCTAATTTTTTTTTTTCTAAAGATATCAGTTTGTTAACAGCAAATAAAGCAATATTATCACCTCCCTTCGGCGCTTACATGTCTGCTTTAATTTGTTTATGTTTTAATGTCTTGTGACTTTTTTTGCAATAGAATAATTATTAATGCGTTTCGTTCTTATTGTACCTTGAAAAAGAGCTTGTCTAACTTTATCTGTTGTGAATAAGGACAACTGGCAATTGAGAAATCTATTATGAAGTAGTTAACATATCTTATGATTTGTATTAAACAAATCAACCTGTTGTTGAAAATTAAGTGTACAACAGTTTATGTTATATAGCTTATATAGGCTTCCTATTTCACGTTCAGTAGTTAATTTATTTGAAATGTAAAAGTGATTTTGCGCTTTTTTTTTTTGCCTATATTACGCATCACGGCTTTACTGTTTTGATAAGTAACATTTGACCTTCTCACAGCCAGCACAAGAGTATAGAAAATAATGCTTTTATTTTTATTTTAATTTAATATATATATATTTTTTGTTTCGGTTTATGGTTGAATACTAATTCATGTGTTTCTGCTAATTATAACCTTATACATTTGTTCATTTTACTAATTTTAGACTATTATACACTTTTTATTTTGATGTTTTGATTGAAAAAAATTATATTCATCAAATTAATTGGTTTTAATTTTTATTTAGCGACATGATTCAGCCAAAGAAAATCTACCATCATCAAATAATGAATGTAGTTCTGTTTCATCGACGTTTACATCATCTGATGATATTCAATCAATGTCTGCATCAAATGTTGAAACAATGACAAAATGGTTTCAACATTTAGTTGAAACAAGTATATTCTCTTCTTTTTTTTGTTGGTGTTGTTTGTTGAATATTAAATAATGAATGGTTTTATTTTAGAACCCCATCTATTATCATTGACATCGTGCACTGATACATTAACAAATAGATGTTTATTAATCAATGTAATACACAAGTTTACAAGTTGGTTAAATGAACAACGATTAATTGCACAAACAACCGAAACATTAAATGGTATTGTATTATGTTTAAATGAACAAAAGACAAGTTATACTATGTGTCCATCATTAGACACTTTGGTAAGTTTATATAATTTTCAATATTTGAATTTATATTTTATTTTTTCTATTTTCTAGGCTACATATATACCTGGTAAAAAATATGATTTAATCGCCGTCTATAAGAGTAATAAACATCGTCTAATAGAAACTGATAATGAAATAAATGATGATCAAACTCCACCACTATCTCAACAACAACATATTCCTGAATTGACAAGAGGTTTTTTTATATTGATTGAAAATACTATTTCATTTTCTAACTCTCTCTCTCTCTTGTTTTTCTTTTGCTTAGTTCGTAGTGAAAATGATTCAACAAAACAAATTTTTATTTATCTTGTGGTGAATGATAAAAAAGTAATGAGATAACATTTATCAAATGAGAGATGAAAGTTAAAAAATTTGTTTTTTTTTATCTATTTAGTTAACGTTATTTGTTTATAATGCATCAGATGATTCATCAAAACTTTTAATTCAATATTTTACATCACTTATACAATGGGCTAATAAACGTTTACATTTATTAAATATTATTGTATCACAAAAAATGGGATTATTTCGACCGTATGAATGTTTATATGATCATTCAAGTTGGTATCGATACAATGGAACAAAAGTATAAAAAATATTATTGTCTATAAAATAAGATTAAAAGTATTTATTCTATTCTATATTTAGGGACATTATACAAAAACTGAAAATGTTGATTTAGAACAATTAATAAATGAAACAGGAATACCAAAAAGTATTAAATGTTCTCAAGGATGGAATATAGAAACATTATATATGAATGTTAAATCTTGTCCAAAAATGTCAAATGATAATCAAAAAGATTTAGTTCAATTACATGGATCACAGTTATTAGAAATAAAAGAAAATCGAAAAACGGGTTAGTTTACTTATTCATTTTATAGTTGAAAAAAACAACAATAGACAAATTGTGATTATTTTATCTTTTTCTTTAGAATGTGGACAGTCATCTAAATTACGAGAATATGCTGAAAATTGGGTAACAAAGCCAAGTCTGCCAATATCGGTATATTTTCTATTTATTTAATTAGTTTATAAGTTTACCGTATCTAATTTTTTAATTTAGGATGATGATTTATCATTAATGAAACATGCTAGTCGGCCATTAATGATAACTATGATACCATTGCTATTTTTTCGTCAAGCGCGTAGTTTTTATCAAAATGATACTACACTACGTACATCAACATTTTTACCATCGGTATGTTGATGAAGCATGAGAATGAAAATGTGAAGAAAAAAAAATGAATTGAGTAATTTAAATGTTTGATAAACAATAGAGAGTATAATTATTGCTTGTTGTCTTATAAGACTGATTTTATTTAAATCAATATGATTTACGTTATTGCACTTCTATATATTTGATTTTAGCATATATTTGGTCTTATATATATATATATTTATATATGTTTATATATACACACACATACACACGCACTCTCTTTTACTAGATAAAAATGAAAAATATTAAATTCTAGACAGAAAAATGTGAGATTAAATAATCGATTATTCATTTGTCTTCTTTCAGGACCATGTATCATCAGTCGCAACAGTAGGCAATCTAGCTAGAATGGCTAATAAACGAAAATCTATTCCAATGGATTTCAATTTTCGACGCTTAGTTAGCAATCTGGATGAGGTTAATTTTTACACATAATTAAACAATTGCTCGTTCTTTTGTTTGTTCTGAAGTCACTAACTTACAATGCAAAAAATGAATAATAATTCAATGAAAAACAGTCTAAAACTGTTATAGGATAGAATAATGATGAGTTTAAAAATAAGAATATATACAGTATTCTATAAAAATTGAGTAATTCTGCAATTAAAATGAAACACTGTGCTAACTCTTCCCTTTCGCTGACTGTCTTTTTTGCTTAATATCACCACACAACGGTGTTCGGGTCGTTTTTATTTGTTTTTTTCACAATGCAGCATAGTACACATTTATTTATTGTAGACCTTCTTATTTGTCTCATGTCTCATGTCTCATGTGTGTTTATTGTCATTTCACATGTAATAGTTATACACAAGGAATCTTCAATCATTAAAGCATTACCAAATAATTTGTTTATTTTCATGCTCTACTATTGAAAATGTTTATATACTATAACAATTTGTTCTACACACAATAAGACAAAAATTGATCATAATTGGCTGTTTAAACTATTCGCTGCTTATATTAGCGTTTATTCGTTTGATAAATAACATTAATTTTCTTTGTTTGGTATTTCTTCTTCTTCTTTTCATTCACACTGTAGAATATATATATATATTTGGATTTCGATCTTGTATTTTATGGGACATCAATCCAGAATTTTAGTTTATTTTTAATATTATTTGTTTGTATCACAATAACCATCCTATTTTTGCACATTATTTTTATATATTTGTATAAATAGTTTTGCATTATTATTTATTTCTATTTTCTAGGGTAGTCATACATCTCCACAAACGATTCGTGATCAATATGACATTTCATCAAATCATCTTCATAATAATGTTTCAACATTTAATAATTTGCCAAATGTTCTAAATCCACAACAACAACAGCATCAATCAGAATTGACTGAAGTCTTTGTTAAACAGTATATTAACTTCTTACATTCAGCCTATAAATTTAATTTAATACAACCAAAAACTGCTCCACAAAAGTAAGTCAATTTATTTAATTCTAATAATTTATCGTTTCTTGTATTTCTTTCATCTCTCTCTTTCTCTCTCTATAGTCCACCAATTGTATACAATCTTCATCGTTCTGATCATGAGAAAAAGTCAACAATAATAGCTGAAGTATCATCAACAAACAGTATTCAAGTCACTGTCAATTATTTTCAATATTCACTAGGAATGTCAGCACAATCGTTAACGAATCAAAGAAATTATACAGATCATGTAAAATATCTGTTGTTGTTGTTGTTATTGTTTTTTAATCTGTTAAATAAATTTTTGTTCATTTTAGATACGAGAACCATCGAAAGAGGATGGACAATTTTTACCTGATCAATTCGACATGGATGCAATTTCGTATGATTTTCATCTACAAACAATCGAACGTTATTTAATTAATAAAGAACAATTTTCAACTGATCATTTATTATTATCATTCTTACAAGAGTTTATGGACTTTTATCCAACATCACCGGTTGGCTCAAAAACTTCCATACATAAAAGTAAAAAATTTTCTATTTTCTTCAATATAAATTTTAATTTACTTTTTTATTTTTTAAAGCGTATATTCGTCATCCATTGGAAACAACGCATCGTGCAGATGTACTTTTATTTAAATATATTGTTGATAATGCTGCTACATATAGTTTACATTCAAGAAAAGGAGGACGTGATGGAATAGTAAGCAAAGACGTATGATTTTTTTGTAAATACAAGATTATTTGATAATAAACTTCTATTTTCTTTTTTAAGGAAGAATTATTATTTTATTATGAAAAAGGCAATGATTTAAATCCAATGAATGTTATTTGGATAGCTGGACGAGCTCCACGTGATTTGCCTACTCAATTGAATATTGTCATGTACATTATTTATACAAATTTAAATCCAAAACGTTTATCCAGTGCAATACCCATCACAACGACAACAACAACAACAACAACTACAACAACAAATAGTACATCACTCTCGAGTACACCATCAACTTCATTGAGTAAATATAGTACATGTAAGCTAGAATTGAATGAAATGAAGTTTTGTAAAGTGAATTTACATTTTTTTCTTCTCGTTTAGCTCAATTAAATTCAAAACCAAAAGCAAATACCAAAGATTCACGATCAACAGTAGCAAAAATAACAATTTTTCCATCACGATGTACAAATACAACTATGAATGATAATGGTTCAAATGATAATATGAAAAAAGATAAAAGTATTGATTATTTCAAGTATGTATTAACAATGTTATAAACTAAGAAGAATAGTAATTATTATTTGATTTGTTTTTAAAATAGATCAAAATTAGAAAATGTTGTAAATCAAGCTGCAACCACTCATCGACGAGAAATGCTTTGGGAAAAATTAATTTCTCCTCGATCATCCGATGATGTTCGTAGACGAGATGAAGTAAATTTTTTCAGTTATGTCAAACAAATATGAACTCTTTGAAACAAATATTTTTGTTATTATTTTAGAGTCAACAATCAATTAATGTAACAGAATTTGAAACATTATTAGCTTCATGTGACAAAGATTTACAAGATACAATTATTTGTCTATTGAAAAAAATTGTTACAAATAAAGAACAATCTGAAAAATTTGCTAAATATTTAAGAAGTCGATATGGTGATTCATTTCAGACATTTAATACGCCCAGTGTTAATTATCTAGTAAGTTATTAAAATTGTTTAATATTTTTACTTTTTTCTATTTTTTATTAATTTTTATTTAGGTCATCTTACAAAATAGAAACAAAAACGTTGGTGCTCAAAATACAAACACTTACGTTCAATGTGAAGCGTTTATAATTATATCGTTTAATCCAATGGATCAAAATAGTCTAGTGAGTTCAATAATTTATTATTGCAGCTTAATCAACATAGTTGAAAGAATGAATTGAGATATATACTGATTCAATGCTATGTAAAAAAAGATTATTATCTCAAATTGACTTTATTTTATTTTATTGTGAGCATCAGGTTTTTTTTAATTTTATAAAACTATGCATAAACTATCTTTTATACTATCGGATAATCAAAAATGCAGTTCTAATTTTCATTCTTTTCGTCTTAGACGGTTCGTTTTAGAATTCGAAAAATAAATAAAAAAAGTAAATTAATAAACTCGAAAAATTTGCTAACCCACAAAAGACTCTAAGTCGTCAACTTTTCTGTTCGAAGTTTTTTCAGCAAAAGTGAATATAAGATGAATTGTTTTCAAGACTAATAGTATGCATACAAAAAATATCAAGACATTGAATGACACATTGAGTGTCGAAATACTCTAACAGATAATCCATATATAATGGATAGTTTTGTAATTTACTTATATCTCCATTAGAGTTTATTTCCAAGACTTTCGTTTTTCAGTAAAGGTACCGTGATGAAATTCTCTACAAAAAATGTATTAAGTATTTTATTACAAAATGTGAATCGAATGCATCATCTGATAGTGTGCTCTTTCTTCTCGAATATTATGAAGTTTGTTTAAATCTAATTTTACGACACAAAGAACAATTTCATTGAAACCTTGTGAAAATAAGACAATTTTGATTTTTTCACTTAACATATTAAAAGAAAGAAAATTTTTGAGTTTTTCTTATTTGAATATAAGAGACACCTTGTTTCTATTTAAAACAAAAATACTTCGAACCAAATATGTTTGATTTTAAATGTACTAGTTGACTGAGTGTAGTACTTTCTTCCTCTGATGGATATATAAGTCAATTATGGAACTATCTATTATATCTGTATCATCCATTAAAACCTAATTATAATCATTTATTATTTCTCGTTTGTCATTCTAGAGATCATATCTTGTCAAACGTCATAGTGAAGTTGAATGTCCAACATTTGTACAAAGTTTCATCCATCTTTCTAGCTTTTTTATGTGGGAAACATTGTTATGAACGTCATTAATTTTTTTTTTTTGTATGAGTAGTCATTTTCTGTCCCTCTGCTATTATGTGATTTTTTTTTTCTTTTTTGTTACTTACATCGATTTGTTTTTATCTATTATATAAAAGATTTCAGTATGTTAATAGCTTGAACTACGCTTGTCTTATTTTTCAAAGTTTGTACTTTTTTGTCTAAATTTGAGATACCAGGTTAGATAATAATGATCTATTTCTAATTACTAAGTTTACTTTTTTCGACTTCGAACTATTTCAATAAAAAAGTACTCAATTTTTGTTTGTTTAAAAACAACAACAACAAGAATTCAGATTTATAGTTAAGATACATTACCATTCTTCAAACATCTATTTTTTGTTGATAGTTTGTGTTATTTTTTTTGTTTTTTGTATTATTATTCTATTTCATGTGCCTAGATACATTCATATTTTTTTGTTTGCATGCGTTTATTATTTTTATACATTGTGACATACACATAAATATCATTTTTTTGTTATCGGTAAACATTATTTAACTTGTTGTTATTAGTTGTTTTCTATTATTCCTAAAAACAGTCTTTGATATGTGTTTTCTATAAAAAAAAAAAAAAATTAATCTTATATGTCTGTCTATTTTTGAATACATTATTAACATCTATAGTCTGTGATTTTAAATGAAAATTTTTTTTACAGAGCTAAAAAAAACTGTTCTATTTATCTTGAACGGTTAAAATTAGTTTAAATGTTTATTTTGTAGATGTCTTCAACAGTGGTGGCTTCACCAACGGCATCACAAACGTCATTATCAACGGCTACACCATCAGCAACGAATAATTCAAGCCAGCATGTTAAATTTTCACATTTGTGTAAATTATTAGAACAAATCTCAAATAAGCAAGGTACTGAAGCTAAAAAAAAACTTTTAACAAAATTTATAACCGATTGGCGACAATTACATGAAAAATTACATGAAAATGATTCACTATCAACATTGTCGACTCAAGCACAAGCTACAACTACTGTTCAAACTTTTTCTGCTGCGCCATCTACTACTAGTACTGGAGCATCGGCAACAATCATGCAAGATTCATTTTATCCTATTTTACGTTTATTATTACCACAATCGGATCGTGAACGAATTGCCTATGGTTTAAAAGAAAGTAAATTAGCTAAACATTTGATTGATGTATTAAGTATAGCAAAAACGAGTGCTGATGCACAAAAATTGTAAGTAAAAAAATTATTATCAAAGATTTAAACTATATTTTAATTTTTAATCTATATTTAGAACAAATTTTCGTGCTCAAAAAAATTCACGTACAACAAAAGGAAATGATTTTGCTGATGTTGTCTACTATGTTTTAAAAAATCGAAGTAATGAAGATCGTACATTAACAATTTATGAAATAAATAGTCGTTTAGACGATATAGCTCTGGAAAATGGACGCGGTAAAGATGGTCAAAAAGCAAGTATTAATTAAATATTTTTCTAATCATTTATTTTTACAAAAGTTATTTTCGTTCTAGGTAATTGATGTACATTTAACATTTCTTCTACGAAATTTATCGGCACTAGAATTGAAATGGTTAATTAGAATATTATTAAAAGATTTGAAAATAAGTTTAAAAGAAAATTCAATATTAGAATGTTTTCATCCAGATGCTAAAGATTTATTTGATCATACAAGTAATTTATTGAAAGTTGCGGTTTATTTACATGATCCATTGAAACGTTTACATGAAATTGGTTTAAGTACGTATTACTATTACTCATATTATTTTACATACTATTTTATGAATAATCATAATCTAGGTATATTTTCACCGTTTCGTCCTATGTTGGGTGAACGAACAAAAGCTGATAAAGTTGAAGAAACACTTCGAAAAAAATCATCACATCCACAACAAGCCGTAGCCGAGTTCTATATCGAAACAAAATGGGATGGGTAAGAAAGAAATCATTATGTATTTTATCACTATTTTCTTCTCTTGTATTCATCATCACACAATTGTAATGTTGATACGTGTAATCATTGTGATATTTTTATTTTCAGTGATCGGTTTCAATTGCATCGTGATAATGATCATTATATGTAGGTAGATATCTAATACCGAGAATAAAGTTAAATTAAACATATCTTTTATTAAATTCAGGTATTTCTCTCGTAATGGGCATGATTATACCGACATATTTGGATCAGATTCGATGAATAATGGAACATTGACACCATTTATAGCCAATACATTTCATTTGGGATGTTTACGTTGTATATTAGATGGTGAAATGGTTATCTATAATCGAAATGAAAAAATAATTCATTCAAAAGGTGATAGTTTTGATGTTAAATCTATACAAGCAAATGATTCACAATTACAACCATGTCTTATTGTTTTCGATATTTTATTATATAATGATGAAATTTTAACAAATAAACCATTGCATGAACGATTAAGTTATGTTAAATCAAAAGTATTTGAACCAATTGAAGGAAGAATTATGTTGTCCGAAATCCGAACTGCACATAATAATCAAGATGTCATCAATGAATTGAATATGGCCATTGATCAACGACAAGAAGGAATTGTTGTCAAAGATCCGTTCGCTGTTTATAAACCAAATACAAGAGAAAATGGTGGATGGCTTAAAATCAAACCTGATTATATGTTAGGTAAGAATTAGAAGTATTGATGTTATTCTTAAAAATGGGTTACATTAGATGTAGTTGGTTAACAGTTCAAACTAAATGCAATCAAATACTGTCGACTCTTCGACTAGTAAAAGTATCTTATGGTCACAATAGCCGAAGTGAAGAGGAAGCCAGTTAATTTGAAAATTCACTATTTTGTTCTTCTGTTTAGAAACTACTTTTATTATTCCCGTTTAGGTTTGAATGATGAAATTGATTGTTTGATTGTTGGTGGCTATTTTGGTACCGGACGTCGTTCTGGTTTGCTTAGTCATTTTTTATGTTGTGCACTCGTGAAACAAAATGATACAAATTTCAATAATGAACAAAAAGATGAACAGTCAGCAAATCCAATGACATCATCACAAACTCAAGCAAAACCAGAAGCAAAAGATTATTTGTATTATTCATTTTGTAAAATTGGTAGTGGTTATACACATAAAGAATTATTAGATTTTAATAATCGTCTATCAAACAAATGGAAAACGTATAATCGTCGTGCACCACCCGCTCATCTTTTATGTACATATGAAAAACCCGATTTATATATTAATCCTGAAGATTCGTGTATTGTTCAAATACGTGCCGTAGAATTTGTTGCATCAGATAAATATAAAACAGGCTTTACATTACGATTTCCACGTTTAGAAAAATTTCGTGAAGATAAATCATGGTATGAATGTGTATCATATCAAGATTTAATTGATTTAAAAGAGAAAAATGCTGGTAAATTAGCAATGAGACAATTTATGAACAAAGATCCCAATAATGAATTAGATGGTGATATGGATATTGAAGAAAATCTTGACAAAACAAAAACATTGACAAAAAAAACTGTAACAAAATCTCGACAACAACAAAAAGCTACGGTTGATCAACGTTTTCGTGGCATTGATCCACAAGCAGTTAAAAAAACACAAGATTTTTTAGATATGAAAGAATTTTGTATATTTGAAGGTGATAGTGATCATTCAAAAGCAAAATTAGAAACATTAGTACTCGAAAGTGGAGGAAAAGTTGTTCAGAATCCATTACCAACAACCTATTGTGTCGTAACAAGTAAGTTTAATATTTTAGATACAGAAGATTCGAAACTGTCCTCTTAAATCAATTTTTATGAATTTTTGAAACTAATCGAGTTTTGTCTAGTATACCCTGTTGAAAGAGCAAGTTCAAGAATTTTGTCGAACTGTTAGATTTTATTGCTCGGTAGAGCTGAACATTGGAGAACCTTGTAAATGTCTGCTTTCACTGTTACCTTTCTTTCACTCTCTTTCATCTAGATAATCCAAATGCATTACGTTTAAAAACATTAATTAAGCATAAAGAACGTGATATTGTTTATGTCAAATGGTTATTACGTTGTATTAAAGAAAAGCAATTGTTGAGATATAATTTATCAGATATTATTTCATGTAATTCGCAAACACAAGCTGAATTAGATAAATTGTATGATAAATACGGTGATAGTTATTATGATACAACGAATGAAGAAGATTTACGATCAATATTTGAAAAAATTACTGGTATTCAAAAACCACCACAACCATCAACAACTACAGATCCACCACCACCACCACCAATTCAACAACAAAAAAAACAGACGAAACAATGTAAAAGATTAATAGTTCCTAAGCATCCACCAATACGAAAACGTGCAAAGCCAATTGAATATGATGATGATGACGATGAAGAAAATGAACAGGAGCTGTCGGCTAAAAGTCCATCACCAGTGAAAAAAAAACGAACGAACGAAACAACTTTCATTGTTACTCCACCTCCGCCACCTCAACCAGTTGAAACAGATGAAGAGAAAAAGCTTCGTTTATTTATTGCTGAATTTGAAAATGAATATTTTCCTGATGATAGTTTATTTGGTTTATTTCGTTTGTGTAATATTTATTTTGATGAATATTTGATTATTAATGATTCAACAACAAGAACTGAAGATAATGTATATGAATTAGCAAAATTAGAAGTTAAATTACATGGCGGACAAGTCTATAATCAATTGACGCCAACTATTACACATGTTATTTGTTCAAAAGCACATACGAAACAAATGCGTTTGGATGAATTTAAACATTTAAATCATAAACGTCCAATAAAATTTCGTTTAGTTGATATTGAATGGATTATATCGTCAATTGAAGATAAACGACTTCTAAATGAATTACCGTTTGCTGTTTAACACTTCTTGTTGTTATCATCATTATTCAAGAATAAAAAATTCAATATTTTTCATGTGTTGTACATACTCTTAATTGCTCTTGTTATGTAAAAAGCTTTTATGTATCTTTTTTCTGTAATGAATTTTGTAGCAACTAAAAGCTAAATGAAACAAGATAAAATGTCAAGCCAATTGTTTATATCCACTACTTTGATGAGATGTGCGAAACTATCTAACTACTTTTTACATTAGAAGTATGATAGATTCTTTCGAATACAATTTTTGTACTTTTATCGGAGTCATTTTTTCATTTCAATCCAAGGTTGCCAAATGTCCTGTCATGAGAGGAACAGTCCCATATTTTAAGATTTTTTCCTCATTAAAATCTGTCTAACTGAGTGTCCCTTACTTGGAAACCGTTAGAAATTCTAACACTTCCTCATTTTAGATTGATATTAGACTTTTTTACGGTTGACAAACCTGATTGAATCTCTTGTTCACTCGCTAACAACAATCGTAGTTGATTTATTGCTGTCTTCTGTGTTCTGTTTCGATAATCTTTGACTATGAATTATGTTTGTTCAGTTTCATCTCATTCTTCTTCGTTTATAGTATCTATATATTTATCCAGCTGTAGCCACATTTCAAAAGGTTTTTATACTGTGTTTTGTAAGTTGTTACTATGTGAAGAATCTAATTCATTATCTGCACAACTTGTTGTTTTGATGCAGGAGCGTCTATCCTGTGAGACGTTTGAGGCAGAATGCCTCAAACAAAAGTAGATGGACGCTTTTTTATTGTAAACATTCATTTTTGAGATGGTACACTAAAGGCTCGAACCTCTGAGGTGGTACAAAAGGCCTCAAATGCTTAGGTAGGGATAGACGCCGCTGTTTTGATGTTTAGAAAAATATATCGATGTTCTTGTACATTTTCCGTTTCTAGTCTTTGCTATTTATACTTCAATACTTCAGTCGTTTTGATCTTGCGTCTTGTTGAGCTCGTTTATTTTTTTCTAAGAATTGTTATACATTGAGGAGGCGACTATTCCATAGATATTGCCTTATTCGAACTGTGTATGATAATTCCATTTGACTTTCGTAAATCTGTATGACATTTAAACCATAGCATTGATAGTTGAATAATTTTGACTGAAAATAGTAAAAAAACATGTACGTACTTTGGAAGATTTCTGGAAAACCTTTTCAAAAACAAAGGTATTTCTAGTCAGGTTGTTGTTGGTATGTTTGAATTCTTGTTCATTGACACAATCTTCCGATGTTGACTGCGAAATTTTAGTAGCTTCTGAAGCATACACTTTTCTAAATTACTTGTATCCAGATTCTTTTTCTAATGATGGGGGCAAGATTATGTTGACCAAATTTTTGCCTGATTGACAGTGAAAGAGCCTGAATGTAGATCAAGACAGAAATTCCTTCCATTTCATAGTTTTATTTTCACAACAAAAATATTAAGTTAACAAAAAAACTCAACAAAAAAAGAAAAATATTACAATTAAGTGATGAATCTTAGTTAAGTTGTGTACGTTAAAAACAAACGAAAGATAAAGATAATTAGTAATAAATAATTCATTTTTTATGTTTGCAAGCTTTCGCTCAATACTTTGAGCATCAGCAGGCAAACATCAGGCAAAAACATTTCCCTGATTATGCTCAAAGTATTGAGCGAAAGCTTGCAAACATAAAAAATGAATTATTTATTACTAATTATCTTTATCCTTCGTTTCATAAAAAACACGTTCAAAACTAAAACTGATCTATAAAAACAAACGAAGACAAATACAGAAAATGAATATTATTAAACGACTGTTTAACTAACTCCAAAAACAGTGAGATAAAAATCTGTAAACTGAAAGAAACCCATCCAGTATACTTGGTTTAGATGATATTCTTCATTTCACCAGTATTACTAAACATAATTTGTTTTCACATAATTTCTTTCCAATTTTAATGTTGTTTTTCTTACACCAATCTTTTGCACACGACTTGACATGTCCTGTGATACCTTGCGGCTTGAAAGATCTGTTACAATTTGGACAAGTGTAGGTATTGCTTGCATCTTTCACTAACACTTCCGTTACCTTCCGTTGTCCGGCTCCACGATCCTTAGCTGACTCTTCTACTCTTCTCCTTTCTGTACGATCTTTAAGTTCATGAAGTATTTCTTTGGTGTTTTTTTGTGCAGAGGTAACCTTCACACGTCTGTTGATTAGCTCACGCCACATTACTCTGTCTCTTGTTTCCCTTCTCCAGTTTCTAATCTCGAACTTCTCAAGATCATCCATAATTTTAGGCTCCCACCGTTTCCGAATGCCAATGTTACCAGGACGTTTGTCTTCCGGGAGGTAAGAGAACATTATTTTCTTCACCAATGATGCTTCATTATTCTCATTCTCCATCCTGTTGGCGTGTCCAAAACCCGAGAGATATTTTACATCATTAACGTTGCACCTATCAATACTTTTCGAGGACCTGTTCTTCATCGATCTATAGATAGAAAAACAAAACAATAAGATTAAGAAGAAACTTTCAAATGCTGACTTACGCCTTTGGAATAGTGCTTTTGTCTGATGGAAAGTTCCTGCTCCGTCGACCTAAACGAATAGAAAATCCACGCGCCAGTAATCCAAGCATCGATCGGGACATTGGCTGGTTCTAAATCAAAAAGAACAACAATCAGCATCGATATAAATCTTTGCCGAGCTACGTTAATTAAGCACAAACATCAATTTGCACTCAACGATCCTTAAGGAAAGATGCAGATTTTTACAGCTAAATTAAAGTTCACCAGCGAACTAGTAACTGTTATTAAGGAGCACCAAATTCACGGTTACAACACTATTTTTTCACGGAAACGTGCACTGGAAAGGCTAAAAATTGATTTTCGTTTATCCGAGCCACTTTTTTTAATTTTTGCCGTTTTCGTATGAAAAAATCCGTTTTAAATCATTTTTGGTGTCCGAAAACTGACTATTTCTCCATTCATTAGTGAGAAATTCAGCAACTAAGATCAAAAAACGTACATCAAGGATTTTTCGTGTGTGGCGAATGTTGCCTTGTTTGTCTGATGCTATCTTGGTTAGCATGAAGGTTGTGGAACGGGTCTCTGGAGGAGTCACTGTCATATTAGCCTGATGATGATACTGTGAAGTATCGAAAGCTCGCTTCTTGTGTAAAATGATTTTACAAAAATGTTTTTCAATTATATTAAATATACTTAGTTTTATAAGAAACGTAAAAAAGTCAAAGAATGTCAATATATTTAAACTTTCATACTCTATACACAGTTTATTAAAAAAGAAAATAGCGCCGAATCG